TCTGTCTGCACAGCCACTTAGTTCTGTCCCAGCTCGTAATGTGCATCATAAAACACTGGTTCTCAATCAAGATTCCTACAGTAAACAGATTCCCTCCTTCTAGAAGGCAATAGAAAATCATTTTTTCTTGAAGTTACTGGTGAGCTGTCTGGCACACACACTAAGCAGTTCTTTACAGTAAACCCTTTATTTTGCAGACTTTGGATTAACACCCTGTTAATTTTGAAGTGCTTTTAACCAAGATTTGCTTATAATTAAATTCACAGGTTATTTTTGTTATTAATCCACTGTTATTTTTAACAATTTAGTGAACAGGCCATATGTTGGAAAAAACACTGTAGTAATTTCGCTAACAGAAATATTACACACCTACAACTATGTCTACATATTTAAATCTAAGAGTCACCGCTCGTAGAAAGTGCTTGAGGAATGATAGCATGTGACCACACCCATGTGTGGTGATTGGTTCTAATATCTCATGGGTGACTTTCTACAGTAGTTTTTTTTTTTACATTATTACAGATGTTCCCCAATTTTCCCCCTTTTACTCCCTCCTCCTAACCTCTGCCCCACCCCAGGCCTTCACCACACTGTTTGTGTCCATGGGTTGTGCACATATGCATGGAAGTTCTTTGGTTAATCTCTCCCCTCAAGGGCTAGCAAATAATCTTCGACAGGTTTTTAAAAGTATAAGGCAGATTTTAAAAATTAACAATTTTCACCTGAGTTTGGCCTCTCTGCTCGAGTCGTCTTTGGCTGCACCATGAATCAACTTGAAAAAAGTCTTTTCCTTTGGTTCGCACATATTCAGTTGGGGAAAGAGAATCAGCGATGTTTCCATCGTCCCTACAACGAAGAGACGGCCCGCCCGTTGCATCCTGCGCCCCTGGACCCTGCTCCACGGCCGCACATGGTCGAGAAAAGCCTCTCAGCTCCGCCGGCAGCGCTCGAAGCTGACGAGAAGAGCCGGTCCTGAGGGCTGGGCTGTTCCTCGGGAGGCAGGAACACGGAGCACCGAGGAGGCAAAGTCCAGGCAGGCCCGAGCTGTTTAGGGAAATGAGACGACAAATTTGCACAGCGGCTCCTGGTCCCGAGATAAAGACGAGTGTTACCACAGCACAACTTCCCTTTTCGGTTTGTGCAACCAGACGGTGCTCGACCAGACCCTCAGCGCTGGCATTTCCCACACCAGCTTCTGAGAAGCTCTTTAGTGTGTGTGGCCCGTGTGCAGACGTGTCCTGGCAAAGCCCCACATCATGCCTGGAGATGGCAGTTGGCATGTCCCCTTACTTTACCTCCTGGTTAAGAAAGAAATGGCAGCTCCACCTTGGTTCAGCCTCCATGTCTCCATTTCGGTTACTGTTCCATGAAACCCAAATACCTAAGAAACGATCTAGTCCATCACTCAGATTCTATAGAAAAGGAAGCCGCGGGTGAGGGGTACAAAGCGATCTGTTCCTGCCAAGTCCCAGGGGTCAGCGGGAGACAGGGAACTGTCAGAGCCTTGGGTCCCCAGGAGCAAATGCTTCAATCCCCCTACAACTGCACACAGTAGAAAGCAGGCCGACAAATCCGAAAGGAAATTTATTCTGTTGTCAGTCTTTTCAAGTTACTGATTTCAAGAAAATAGTCCTCAGGGATACCAGCCAGGAGCTCAGGACATTCGCAGAATTGAAATTGAAGAAAATGAATATGTATCTGTAGACACACCTTCCTGATTCCATCAGTTCTATTTTGAACGTATTTTTAAATCCACCGTGGCTGAGCGTTGACTTAACGATGTCACGCAGAGAGCTTTCCGTGGCAAGGTCGGCTTGAAACAGAGGCTGGTGGCGTAGATTTTGCAGATTTTGCACACCCACCATGACGTCCCCTGGCGCGTATTAGCATTCGCTGTATTTATCGGAGGTTTAATTTGTAAGCATGAGGACAGGGAGAGATCATGGGAGCCTGGACATCATCGGGTCCCTGAGGCTCTAGCTGAATTCCTACATCCAGAGGAGGGAGCAACAGCCACGTACTGACCTTCTCTTCAAACGTTTGTTGAAATTGTGTGCACGACGTGAGTCTCTCAGCTGGGGGTTGAAATCCATCCGTGTCTTTGATTCTATGAATTTACAAAAGCAGGTTTTTCAGCTTCTTTGGATGTGCTGAATGAGGCTCTAGATTTGCCGACACAAAAAATTAAAACATGTTGCAGTATAAAAGGGAAATAAACATAGTTTGGGTCAATACATAAAGCTTTAAATTCCCATTTTGGCAAATCCTCGGACATGGTAATCTTGCTAAGCTAGAGCATTTTCCAGGCCTGTAATTTATGATCTGACCTAATGCGGGGGAAAAAAAAAAGACCTGTCAACCTACTTTAAATTATTCAACTACTTCTGTTAAACAGTATAACTGCTAGTCTTTTCTTTGTCGTCATTGGACACATTAAAACTTCATATGGAGCAGAGGTTTTCTATAATATATTCCTTCATGTTTACATCCTTAGCTTCCAAGGCGAGAATTACAAGCAACGGTTCTTTTCCGCTGCTCTTTTCTTTGACTCCTCCAGGAAGCCTTCTTAATCATTTTTTGTAGGAGCTCTTACTGCTTTTAGTCTGTTTTTGTAATGTCAGTAATTTTCACTTTCAGCGGGAAGCAGGGCCCTCTGAAGATTTAACTGGTGTGGAGTCTGCACCTAATTTCACAGATCGATATTTATAGCACTTGCACGGCTTTGCTCACCTTCCAACAGTAAAACCATCCAAACCCCTCAGGAAAGTCCATTTGTCCAATAAATGCTCAATGTGTATCCCACTTACCAGCTAATTGATTATATAAAATACACTCTATATTTATATATTCACCTTTCTGTATAGAGAGACACAGGCAAAGAGATAGAGACAGAGACAGACAGAGAGACAGAGACAGAGAGACAGAGACAGAGAAAGGTACCCCGGGTTCTCTTTTATGCCAACTGAGTAGACAGATAGGAAATATTTATACGTGTAGCGTACGCTTATATTATTTTATTAAATAAAAACAGGTCAGGAAGTTGCATCTGTTGTGCATCAAGTCATTTTTCATATCTTTTCACATTTAATCTTCAAACAATGTTGAAGGAAAGCCCAGCCATCGGCCAGGTTTGCATACAGGCAACCTGCGGAGAGATTACAGGACACACCTAAGTGTCCCCTCCAAGGACCCGAGGACGCCCTCGCTGGTCCACTAATCGCTTGCGTTCTGAAACTTTTAAAAAGAGGTTTTTTTGGTAGATGAAGTTATTAAAAACTTTGGTGTTATATAAGTGATATTTTCCTGAAGGCAATAATTTTAATTTTCTTTCTTCTCCCCAAATCCCACTCCACTCAGATCTATTTCATTTGCACCGATGAAATTACCATGTGCTTTTGCTGGGCCAGCATGTTTAACGCGAGTTCAATGACTTGGAATTAACAGAGAGGCACGAACGTTTTCCTGAGGTATTTTAAAACTGCACAGGCCTCCAGTTCCTTATGGATCTGAGACCGTGTCATCGTCACCAAGCTCCACTCTGTTTTTATAGGAAAAGAAAATCTCTCTCACCTTCTTCTCACATGAAAAAAATGCTCCCCTGGCAGACTACCACTCTCAGCTCACCCTGCCTTGCCAGGGGCTTTCTGGAAAATGCTGAAAGAGCAGGCGTGTGCTCGGGCACACCGGTGTGTAACGGGTGCAGGTGAACCCGGCCCGTTGCTTTCTTGCCACTCGCACGAGACCCAGGGGCTGCCTGTAGCTGCCGGCCTCCGACGGTCACACATCCTGGCATGACCCGGCCCCGTTCAAATACCCCATCCTGGTCTAGAAATCCTGCTTATTTCCTGATGTGATTAACGTAAACCCTTCACAGATGTGTTCTTTTATATGAGGAAATAACTGAAGCAGTTTTCAAAACACCTTTGAAGCTGATCATCAGTGTTTGTAGAGCTTCGATACCCTGCTCTGTAGGAATCTTAAACAATATATATATTTTAAATTGAATTTATTGGGGTGACATTGGTTAATAAAATTATATAGGTTTCAGGTTGACTTGACCCAACTACTTCTCAAAACTAAACTTCCCAATGTATTTCAGACTAATGTTCACTCTGGTCAGTACCCAAACAGGCATTTATTTAGCTCTAATGCCTGAATATTGACACGGAGCGAATCAGTCCTTTGGGTGTGATGATGTGATCTTAATTGTTAAGTGTAATTGAAAAATTAAAAAAAATTAAAAATTACTGTGCTCTGAAAAAAAAAGTGATATTTAAGGTGAGAACAAACAGCCACGCACAAATACGTAGAAAATACCCATGCGGAGGGGACAGCAAGTGCAAAGCCCCGCGAGGTGTGGGAGAAAGTGGTGTCACATTTTAACAGTAAGGGGGGAAGGTAAACGTAAGCAGTGAGCTCGTGCTGTGACTCAAGGTAAGGGTGTGGATGGCTGGGTGAGGGCAGGTGGTGTAGGGGTCAGCGCGTGGACAGACCAGGGCCCGGCTCCGTTTCTGACACCCGCCATGACCCAAGGCAAGTTCTCTGACCTCAGGGAGGCTGAGCTTCCTTCGCTTCCACATTCCAGACTAACATGTAAGATCAATAAAAAAGCCTAAAAATATTGTCTTCTCACATCACTGGTTTTGAGGCTGTGTTACAGGTACTCGAAGATTTGGTTCCTTCAACAGGGTCAAGCGTTAGTGAATTCGACACGTTTTCCCCAGCTGAGGGCTATGTGGGAGTCACTGACTGAGTGACTTAATATTCTCAGAAATACGGCAGAAATACTCTCAGTTCATGGCCCCCCGTGGTTCAGTGGAGCCGGGAGGCCGGTTCTAACCAATGCATTGTGAGCAAAGTCAGCTGCGGGTTGGGCATTTAATGGCCGGTCAAGAGACTCAAACGTGTTCATGCTGCTTCTTATAATATGTGGTAAACAGAAATCGAAGGTGACGCTCAAGATCCCTACCTCCAGTTTCCTTCCATATGTGATCCTCACTCTCTCCCTTGGAGGAGACGAGACCTGTGGATATGACGTAATGAAGGTCCTCAGTCAGTTGACTTGAATCCAAAATATTCTGGGTGAGCTTGATTTAACCAGGAGATCTACCCACTAGTTAGAATCCTTTAAAACTTGATATTCAGAATGGGATTTTGATATTTAATTTAAAATTTGTTTTCATAAGAGATTATTGTTATCAATCTGTTAAAAGTTCTACAATGCAGTAGTTCTGAAATGTTATTACGTTTAAATGGAGGGGAAGCTGGTAGAGCTGGAATTAACATAGAAACTGCCTGTTGATGTAAGCGATTCTATTGAGAAAGATTAGCTTAAATACCCCATTTTATCTGCAGTGTAAGTTGAAGTGCTAAAAGTTAAAATTACATGTTTTGAATGAATGTACCTATGATTTAAGCCTACCACTCATGGGAAATGTTTCAGCAGTTTATCAAAAATCCCATGCATATTCATTATAAGTTTACTTGTACTAAAAACCTTAATTGGGCCAACACTTTTACGATGATGTGATTGTGATGAAGATTCAGCTCAGCATCATTTTATCTGTCATCAGAGAAAACCTATGTTTGTCTCATCAAGAAGTTTCAAAGCAAAAATAATTTTTGGAAACTACATGAAGGAAAGATCATGGTAGTCAAGTTAGAATAAAGCTTTTTTTTTTTGCAAAGAATAGCATCTCCCTTGGGGGTTGTGAGAATTAAAATTGCAGTACCTGGCACATAGCAAATTCTCAAAGTACGTTAGCCAAGCCCTATGGCAAACTCTTTACACAGACATGGACAATTACTGTGAATTCGAGTTTATAATTTATCACGTGACGGCACCTTCCAAATGGAGTCAGAGACCAT